TACAAATAATGAGTTTCTGATATAAAGGGACATGTTTTGCATCTACTGGACAAACATGGAGCACTTCTTAAACCTTGAGGTACTTCGGCATAAAGTCTGTTTTTAGCTGCTATCTGTGCTAAGGTGGAATTTTTTATGTTTCGTAAAAATCGTTTAGAGTACCCACGCTCTTTCAGTTTTGAGAAAACAATCGTACAGGCTTGGTTGAAATCAGAAGATCTTGTACAAATTCGATGAAATCGTAAAACTTGTGACTTAATTATACCAGAAAAGGTATGTTTTGGGTGAAAGGAGCTCTTGTGCAAGAGTTGATGAGTATCAGTTTCTTTGAAATACACTTTAATATCCAGTTTATTTGTTTCTGCTATGGAATCTCCCTTAAAGACTGTGGTATCGAGAAAGTCTATGCTTTTGTCACTCACGTTTGCGGTTAGTTTGATAGAATGATGGTGGTTGTTGAGAATTTCAAAGAATTCCCAAAACTGTTCGATAGAATAAGTCCAAACCATAAAAATGTCATCCAAAAAGCGTCCGTAAAAAAGTGGGTCAAATGGACAGAGGGGCAACACCTCACTTTCCCACTCTGCCATGAAAAGGTTTGCGTACGAAGGGGCGAATCGTTTGCCCATTGCTGTCCCTGAAGTTTGTTAATATGTTTTACCATTAAATGTGAAATCGTTTCGACTAAGACAAATCTCTAAAAGCTGTAGAATTGCATCGTCGGGTCTGTTTGGATCTGGGTTTCTATTAAAAGCTTTACGAACTGCCGTTAAACCAGTAGTGTTATCGATATTGGTATACATAGAAGAAACGTCGATAGAAATTAAAATAGCATTAGAGGGAACTCGAAGATTTTTTATTTTATTGACAAAATCGGTTGTGTCTTTAAGGTAGGCGCGATGTTGGCATGCTAGAGGTAGTAAGAAATGATCAATGTATTCTGACACTGCATATGACTCACTACCACAGTCAGATATAATCGGGCGGCCTTTAGGGATTTTATTCGAGATAAACCACTCCTTGGTTGGATTCTTATGGATTTTAGGCAAAGTGTACAAATGTCTCTCGCGACAATCAGGTTTGGCAGACAGATAGTCGTATTGTTTCTGTTTGAGATAACTAGTTTTGACTAAATCGGCAAGAATATTATTAATCATGTTAGCAGTTTCCTTGAAAATTGGTTTCGGTAAAATAGCATAATGTTTAGGATTATTCAGTTGATTCTCTGCTTCTGAAACGTAATCCTCCCTATTCAGAATGACACAACATGAACCTTTGTCACTCTTTTTAATAACAATGCTATCGTCTTTCTTAAGTAAGTTTAACGCTTCACGTTCCACTCGTGTGAGATTAGGCTTTTCGTGTGTTATGGAAAGGTTCACTGTTTGGCTATTCATACTCGCAAATGCTTTCAATATTTCAGGATGGATGGCGGCCTGAGGGGGTGTCCACGTGGATTTAGGAATAAACATTGTTCTAGCACCACGTGGGGGGTGGTTTCGAAAAAGATATGTGCAGCTAAGATTTCGTTGAAATCGTTCAATGGATGGTCGGAGATAATTCAAGTTAGCTATCTGAATGCTGAAGGGGTGTGAGAATTTTCCGGCTCAAGATAACTACAGTTTGGCCTAGCGGTGGCCTCTCAGTATTTTTATCCCCAGTAATTAGTTTAAAGACTTACTCGATGCTTGAAGCTGGTGTATCCAAAACAAATAGATGCTGTTTGCTGTTTCTGGAGACCAATGAAGATTATCAACTGGTTCGAATTCTTCTTCGTAGGGTGGTAAGATTGTTGCGCTGTTGATACTGGACTCCATCATCATGTTGTTGAGAGTGCTGAGGTTCTGTTGTGCTTTCTTCGAGATTTTATTTGAAATGGGTATACATGTGAAGAGGATCTTGGAGTTTGGGAAGGTTTCGTTGGCTGTGGCGATTAATTTCTGGGCTTGGTTAAAGGAGGTCTTTGGTAGCTGATCACGGTTGTTGAGGCCTACATGAAGAATAATGGTAGTAGGTTTGGGATCATGGTCGTATGATTCCAGGATTGACTGTATGTGATGGATTTGGGCACCGGGGTAAGAATGTATTTCGGTGTCAGGTTAGATGATCCAATTATTAAGGTAGATTTCTTTAGAGCAGGTAGTTTCCATAATGATTTGTCCTTGGTTTGGTGATAATACGGTTTGGTAGCGGATATAATGGTCGTCGACGGTGTGATTGGTACTGGTTTGGTAGTTGTTAGAATTGTAGCATTGGGAACGGACTGGGATCTGGTTCGAGGAGGGGAAGGTCTGGATACACGTCTCGACTTGGATGGAGACTGAGGGGTGGTTTGCTGGTCCAAAAACGCACAGGAAGAAAGGTTGGTGGATCCTGGATCACGTGGTGAAGATTCAGTTGATGTGGAAGGGGAAGACGAGTCTGAAAGTGAAAAGAGAAGGGGTGTGCCCTCTCTACGAGAGCGTTTACCTATGTCTGCTGGATTAGGAGTAGGTGAACTTCGGGCTCGTTTAGTTGGTAGAGATATGGTTACTCTGGTTTTTGTTTCGTTGATTGTTTGGTAGAATTTGGAGATTACAGCTTGAGTGAGACGTTTCCCATAGGAGCGACGGGCCCAGGACAGGGCATGAGAAACGATGCGGTCGACGGCAGGTGATGATAAAGACTTGGTACGAATGGTGGTCAGCTTCTCTGTGGTTTGGTAATGGTCGATCAGGACCTGCGTAACCTTAGAGAGCCATGTCCGAGTGAGGTATCTAATATTCGCGTCAACAGCTGATGTTTTCATTGCTGGACGGACGCCACTTCATCAAAGGGGGGGATAGTGTAGTAGTGTTGTATATTATTGTGTAGTTATATTGTTTCATATTGTCTTTTTGTATTTGCCTAGTTGCTATGTTGGTGTTTGTTATGTTGGCAGTTTCATTTTGTCGTCTGCTAAGTGTAGTTTTGTAAATAGCACTCATCATGAGTTAAGTTAATTAGTCTTCTTTCCTATAGGTGGCAGTTTTTCACTAGTTTCCTAGTTACTTTGTTTTTGTTTTTCATAAGGAAAGCATTAAGTTTCAAGTGTTGAATATTTATAGTTTCACAGAGGATAATTATATTGAAATACTACTTTGAATTAAAACTCCTTAGAATTAGGGTAAGCATTGTATCTAATTGTAAATAGGTTAAATTGTAAATATTATTCTTATCCGTTTTTAAAACTGCAGCATATTTATTTCCCTTACATAAAACTATCGTTTGGGTTATTTCCTAGTGTCTCAAATAGTTATTATATTTATATATTTCAGAGTTTATAATATATACATTATATTTATAATATACGTAAGTATTTGCTATTATTTAATAAACTATTTTATATCAAGTTTTCCTGTCACTGGTTTTTCCCCCGTTACACCTGAATAGAAAACAAAGTGTTTTTTGTATATTTTTAAGTTCCCAATCAAGTATACTGCTATTAAGGGTTAACAGTTAAAGAACTATACAGTTCTCAATAATTTCAATCTATAAAGAACATTGGTCCGACGTAAACGGATAAAATCATCAAAAACTTTTTTAAGTTTGAAAGTGAAAGTAGAATTTCTGTGAAGCGGAAAATTCGAGAAAATGGATGGCTTAAAGAGAAAGAAAAGATTTGCAAGAAAGTCATTAACAGATGTGCTTAAAATGGCTGAAGCTGAAATGCAGCATGAAATAAACTATAACATAGTGAAGTTTTTCAAAACAACTTTGGAAAATAAACTGGCTGAATTAAATGAATTACAGAGTCAAGTGTGTGAACTGGTGGAAAGTGAAAAAGATATGGATGAAGATTGTAAACAGCATTCTGAGTATGAAATGAAAACTGTTCAATTTCTGTCAACAATGTCTGAATATATAGAAAAGTCTACCCCTCCCACTGAAGTAAGAAATATTTTACCACACCAAAATGAATCCTCAACAAATGGAAATAGTAAACATTCTTCAACAAATTTGCCTCAAGTTAAGTTACCAAAAATTGATTTGCCAACTTTTGATGGAAATGTGTTACAATGGCAACCATATTACCAATCTATTGAGGTTTATGTTATCAAAAACCAATCCTTGGCAGATGTCCAAAAGTTAGAATATTTAATGAGGTCATTAAAGGGAAAGCAGCTGAAACTGTTTGAGGTTTTTCTATTGTACAAGAAAATCTGATGCCTGTTTTGGACACTTTAATCGAAAGATTTGGAAATAAAAGGCATATTTTTGAAACACACATGAAAGCTTTAATTCACCTTAATCCATTAACATCTGAAGATCCAGCACATATGAGAAAGTTTTATGACAAGTTACAGGTCATGTGAGGTCAATCAACTCTATGGGTGATAGATTTAAGACTGATATTTTAGAACCTGTGGTGGTACCTCTTATAGTTGACAAATTACCAAAGAATACTGTAGAAAAGTGGGAGATTGAGATGAAGGACGACAAGAGTGATTGGTTATCAATGAAGAATTTATCAGAATTCCTTGAAAATCTCATTTAAGCTAAAGAGTTGTCACATAATGCAACCCCAAGTAGAGATTCAAAGACTGAGTCCACTCAACAATCATCATACAAATCATCTAAGTCAAATTACTCAATTAATTCAAGATCAACTACTTCTTCTATGGCAGCATCAATCAAGGAACAGAAGTGCCCTGGTTGTAATAAATCTGGTCATAGAATAAGATCATGCATTGAATTTCTGCAGAAAACCATAAAGAATCATGTCAAAGAAGCCTTATCCAAAGAACTTTGCTTTTTATGCTTTTTGAAAGGTCATTTTTCTAAAGACTGTGAGGGTGCATTATGCCAGTACTGTGATTTAAGCCATCATTTCTTTTTACATGCAGAAAGCTCTCCCAGGCACGGTGAAAGCTCATCTAAATTTAAGCCAATCAATTCTGGAGTCGCTTCTACTCATTTTAAGATTAAAAAAAAAAAAGAAGTTATTTTACAGAAAGTTCCTGCTATTTTAACTGGTACAAATTTATTAACCAAGAAAGTTAACTGTTTTTTTAAACAATAGGTCTCAAAGTTCATTCATTTGCCAAAATGTCACAGATGAGCTTGGGTTAAATGGTTAAAGTGTTTCAGGATTTGAAGGGAAATATCAGACAATATCAGAGAAAAAAAATAACATTTTCCCTTTCACCTGTTTATAATCCAACTGTACAATTAAAGATGGATGCGTTAACCACTAACGTTATATGTCAACCTATTGTTGGTGTAAATATTAGGCCACAAGAGTTTAGCTATCTTCAAGATATAAACTTTGCTGAAAAATCTCCACGACCAGAATGTGAAGTTGACATTTTAATTGGCATGGATTATTATTTCCTGTTCGCAACACCAGATGTGGTTAAAGGTGAACCATCAGAACCTGTTGCTGTCCGCAAAAAATTGGGATGGATTTTATGTGGTCCGTCATATGATCAACATAACAATACTCCTTCGATTTCTATGAACATTCAAGTTTCTGCTGAAAATAAACTAAACGATTCGCTTCAAAAGTTCTGGAATTTGGAATCTATTGGCATTAAGGCTGAAGAAAAGGTGAATATTAATGATAATGAAGTTTTACAGAATTTTAAGGATTCATTAACGTTTGAAGATGGAAGATATTCAGCTTCCATTCCTTGGAAGAAAGGCCTGGTTGTTGAAAATAATTATGACATAGCCGAAAGGAAATTGATTTATTTGGAAAAGAGTTTAAGAAAACAGAATAGCGAGAAAGCTGATATATACAATGAACCTAAAAATAAATATGTTGAAAATGGGTTTGCTGAGAAGGTGATGCCTGAAGACAATTCGTAAATAAACCTATATTTTATCTCCCTCACCAAGCTGTTTTTAGAGAAGATAAAGCATCTACTAATGTGCGAATTGTATTTGATGGTTCATCGAAAGATAAAAATGGTGTATCTTTAAATAGCATCATTGAATCAGGACCACCACTTCAACAAGATCTATAGGTATTTTGACAAGATTTAGGAAGCGTCTTATAGCATTGGTAGCAGACATTCCGAAAATATTTCTACAAATCAAACTTAAAGATTAAGATAAAGATGCCCATAGATACATATGGAGAAATCTAGAAACAGGCGGTCAAATCAAAGTATTCAGAATGACAAGACTTACATTTGGTATAGTAGCTAGTCCCTTTTTAGCTATTGGTACAATTCAAGAGCATGCAAGACGTTATCAACATCTATTTCCACAAGCTGCATTGGAAATATTAAAATATACATATGTTGATGACATCGCCACTGATGCTGAAGATGTGGATCAAGCTATTCATCTTCAGAAAAACTGCAAGCATCTTATGGAAAAAGGCAGTTTTAACCTAACCTAACTCAGTAGAAATATTAACAGACATACCAAAAGGAAGATAGAGCTCCTGTTTGTCATGTTGATCTGGAAGTTGAAGATCAAGATTCAACTGAACCGAAAATGTCTAAAATTCTTGGACTTAGATGGGATCCAGATAAAGATTCATTTAATTTTAAAGTACAATTCAATGAAGCTGAATATGAATTGCCACAGATCGGTTTTGTCCAAAGCATCACGAATATTTGATCCACTTGGGTTAATAAGTCCATTTACTATCAGGTCTAAGATACTTTTTCAATTATTATGGTCAAAAGGTATATCATGGGATGATAAGATTCCTGATGATCTACATACTAAATGGATAGAGTAGTTTAAGGAGTTAAATGTTTTACAACAACTTGAAATACCAAGATGCTTATTCGAATTACCAGATTCTAAACTTAAGTCTATTGAAATACATGGGTTTGGAGATGCATCTGAATTGGCTTACTCAACGCCAGTTTATGTTCGAAGTGTTGGTAAAGATGATGAAGTCACATGCTGCTAAGTTATGTATAAAACTTGGGTTGCTCCTGTTAAGAAGATTACGCTTCCTAGATTAGAGTTAATGGCTGCTGTAATAACTGCAAGGCTTTGTCAATATATCTGTTTGGTGCTTTGTTGTGAAGTTAGCAGAGTAATATGCTGGACAGATAATTCATCAACTTTACATTGGATCAAAGGATCAGCTACTCAATGGAAACCATTCGTTGCAAACAGAGTTCAGGAGATCCAATGTCTATTTAATCCGAGTACTTTTCGTTACTGTCCAGGAAAAGACAATCCCAGAGATCTGCCATCAAGGGGTATATCAGCATCATAGCTTCTGGATAATGAATTGTGGTGGAATGGGTCATCATGGTTATGAAGATAATTGGCCAGCTGGATTAAAAATTCCAAGATTGATAAAGTGGATGAATCAATTATCATTGAGAAAAGAGTTCAAGCTCATACTGTCTCTTTAATTCAACACGTTGAAGAGTTAATTGACTATGAAAGATTTAGTAAATATCAAAAACTTATTGATACAGTAGCATGGGTAAAGAGATTAACCTTTAATTCTAGATCAAAGAAAGAAGACAGACATTTTGGAGTTTTAATTGCATCTGAAATTGAATCTGCTGAAAATCTTCTGATATTGAAGATTCAAGAATCCAATTTTGGAGAAGAAATACAAGTTCTTAAGACCAAGCACAACGTGGTTTCAAGTCGCTTAGCTAATCTAAATCCATATATTGATTCTGATTCAGGACTACTTAGATTAGGAGGACGTATCCATAAATCAGCTTCACCTGAAGAAGAGAAGCATCCGCTAATACTCCCGTCATTAAATTATATTGTTAAACTGCTTGTACAACAGGTACACAAACAACAATTACATTCTGGTATTGAACACACCTTGTCAATACTTCGTCAAATATACTGGATTTGTAAAGGAAGATCTGTTGTTAAACAAGTCATCAATAGCTGTCAAATTTGTCGTCATTATTATACCAAACCATTTACACAAATAATGTCACCTTTACCTGAAGATAGAATTCAGCAATCTGTTCCATTCACTAGTGTTGGATTGGATTTTGCAGGACCAGTTCATCTCAAAGGCTTTGATAAAGTTTATATATGCCTGTTCACGTGCGCTGTAACCCGTGCAGTACACCTTGAGTTAGTTACGGATATGACTGTTGAGAAGTTCCTATTAACCTTAACCCTTAATCCTACTTTCTAAATAAAGTGTCTGCTCCACCCTAGGCCTGTACATTTGGGAGAATCAAACCCTCCCGTCCCCGAAATCTAAAAATAGTCGTTTTGTGAACTCTAGCGGATGAGTATAACCGGTAGTCTACTATCAATTTTAGTAGCTCATTTTAGGAGACATTGAGGATTGGTCAGGCTTTCATTCGACATATTGGAAAGCTTTCAACGAGATTTCTGGAAAAAGTTGTAGAAGGTTGAATTTCGTGTTTTAACATGGGAAGAAATGGCAAATGAATTAATGGAGTGAGTCCAAACAGATGGCAAATGAATTACCGATCTTAGTCCATAAGGGCATTTTTGTGGCTATGATAAACTTTGTTATTTCCCATTATATTTCCGTCAAAATAGTCGCGTTATCAGTTGGTAAAATTTACTTTCAAGTATGTCTATGAAAAACAAAACAAAGTTTCAATTTCCAGACTTTCATTGTCATGTATTTGATAAGATGAACGACTACTATGACCGAGACTATTTATTACGTAAGGTCAACGTAACATAATAACAATAGGGTAAAGCGGTGGCATTGGTCATACAGGGATACATCATAATATAAGATTCCCCCGTTTTGTGAAATAAAAAGAAAAAGAATGTAATGAAACATGTTGAAAATTATCTAAAGAAAAATTAAGTGTGATTCCTATCACGTGTTAAATGTTCACGAGTCTATAATGTTCAAAACAAGAGAAAATTTTGGATTTTGCGCAGTGTATAACCTTTAAGAGCATAAACGTTGATGTGCCTTAACAGGGCGGCATGAACGGGTGGTAACTTGGGGTTTGGTAATAGGTTTGGCTGAATTGTCCTGTTTAAATGTTACACTCTTTTTTGGTTTTCGGGGAAGGGAGGGTTTGATTCTCCCAAATGTACAGGCCTAGGGTGGAGCAGACACTTTATTTAGAAATCAGGATTAAGGGTCTTGATATTGGGTTTTCTTCTGTTCTTATTCTGATCTGAAATTAGAATGGTTCAGTCAACTGTGATGTTTTTACGGGTTGCACTGTAGTGGTATTTGGTACTTC